GTCATTAAAAGTTTTGCATTGATAGTCAATAAAAGTTATAATTTGAGGTGTCAGTTGTAATGACAATGAAACAAGAACTCTCAATGTATAATAAACACTTAATTTATATGAAATTCATGCGTTAAATGATTTATAAGCCTTTTATGATTGACTCGTTATAGAATCCAGTATATTGCATATCTATATCTTTAGGAAAAAAAATATTGTATCGTATCGTTTCTAAATTTTTTGCTCAATACACAGCCCTAGCGCCTGACTGCCACCTTCCCATCTGCGTAATATTTTCCTCTGAAAACCCTTTTGTATACAAGTGGGTTGCAACCCCAATGTGAAAAATGAGTGCGTCTTAACTTCAGTTGACTGAATATTCAAAAATTGCAAAGCTTTGTTTAAAGTTTATTCAATGTATAACGACCATTTTGTACCTAAGAAATGAATAGTCCGATATTTCAAATCATGGTAGCAAAATATTTTGATTGATTAATTATTATTGTTTTACACCAAGTCGCCTATGTTTTAGTCATATATATAATTTGAAGATGTGATCAAACAAAAATGCTCCAACAAAGGAATTTACAACATGTTGATTACTAACCAATTAATTGTACCTTGATTTTAAAATTGAAGTCTATGGACAGCGCATATGTTTTTGCAAAATATTTTAAAAAGTAGTTTGAATTTCAAACTTATTCGAGTATTATCTCTTGGTGAAAATTTATGTGTTTCTTTGTTTATTAATTAAAATATGATATAAAATGAATTTTATACCGAAGAAATTTTGATAAATTAAAAATTTTCTTCTTCCTATCAAGGCCACATAACTCTTCAGAAACTTTCAATGTGCAAAATGACCGTTTCTATACATGTCTGTGAATTTGGACGGAAACTGATATTGGAATAAGGGTTTTGAGTTTAAATATGAAAACTGGGACGCCCTTTTAATTTTTGTACATAATACAGCAAAAATCTGCTAAGATTGAAATAATCACATTGTAATATTTTTCCACATGCACACATGTCCCCGAACCAGTTTGGCCAGTCTAAAATGTTGTAACAAAACTTGAATGGTATCACAAGAGACAATTAAATGCTTGATACCCAAAGCCACTATCTTACTCACCCTAAGTAATGCAAAGAAAGCTCATGTAAAAGCAGACTTAAATAAAGCCGCTTCAAAATCATGTAAAAGCAAACTTAATTAAAGCCGCTTCAGAATCATGTAAAAGCAAAATCATGAGCAGACTAATATAAAGCCGCTTCAAAATCAGAACACAAATGTGGCAAAACACTGACAATGTTATCCAACATAGGTAATATAATGTTTTTTTTTATATCCTGAAACGCATTAGTTACTCAGTATATCTCTTGTAACCAGCCCATAACTTCTTAATAATAAATGAAGATTGGATTCTGCCAACCTGCCCAACCATGTAAGTTGATGACAAAACTGATTCCTGATAAATAACATTTGACGGTAGAAAAAGCCATAATACTCTCTGACACATATGCATAAAATTAATGATATGTTCAACAGGAGGGGGCCAGATCTGCTGAAATGATAACTGTAGCCTGAAATTGAAAAAAAAGACTTTTGCTTTCTGTATTTTGAGATACACCGGTTTGAAGGAGGCTGGCCACAGCTAGCTCCTGAATAGTTCTGCAAAACTGAATACATGTAGATACATGGAGAGAACAGGTTTTGTAATGAAACCTGGTCCACTGAAACCGAGAAATAGCATCTGGAATTTAATTTTATTTTATCTTATTTTTTTTTAATACCTTGTATATGTTGAGCTTTTAAATGTACATTAAACTTAAAAGTCTGCATAACTAACATCCCGAATAATGCCATAATTCTTTTGTTTCTAGATGATTTGTGATTAAATTGCTGTAAACCAAAGAAAAAATTGTGAATATGAAGGGTTTTTTTTTTTTTTTTTTTTTTTTTTTTTTTTTGGATTTAATTTAAACAAAACTTTCAGCCCAGACCATAATCCTTAATACATTGGATAAAAGATCTAAGAAGGCGATATCCCTGTGTTACTTCTGAGGCCTGCCAACCGATCATAGTCGGCAACACCAATGTTTATTAAACACCACACCGTAACCAAAAGAACTTGAACTATCTAAATAAAATTGGAGTCCATTATACATATTCCTGCCATACACGACTAGGAAATGGTGTTCTACAAGTAAAATCCCCCAAAATAGAACCCACATTATTAATAAGTTTAGATAACTTTTTTTTTATTATTTATTTATTTTAAGAGTGGTTTAGAGAAAATATGTTAAACCTTTAATTATTTGATCGATTCATTTTTTAAAATAAATTCCAATATACATGTATATTTAAAGAAATTGAATGTTTTTGTACATGTAATGCCTAATGGCACGATTTTTTTTTTTTTTTTTTTTTTTTGATTTTTTTTTTTTACAAACCCCGATATTTTCTTTGAAAATTATATAAAAATGACATTACTAGAACACCGTAGAAAACGTATCAAATGAGGGAAATCCCAAAGTATTACTATGTAACAGTGACCAGTAGATGAATGGATAATTTACATACTACAATATGCAGGGTCTTGGTTTTTGAAAGGAAGTTTTAAATTCTGGTTTAAACCACGACGGATGCACATGTATTAGATTTAGGCAAATTCCCAAACATGCAAAAAATGCACATCTCACTCGATATTGGTTTTGGCAAATGGCAATGGTGGAAAAAGGGTGTCATATTTTGTTAGAAAATGTGCATAGGGTTCCCCTTGATAAAAAGTATGACGTCATTTCAATCTCGCATTGTATGGAAATTCGTAAAATCAACAAAAATATAATAATTAAAACGATTTGGGTCAAATAGAACTGTACCTCGATTATGTTGAGCTGGAATAGCAGGTAACAGGGAAACTAAGGAAGTTAAAGTGGATAAAGACTCCGAGTCAGGTGCCTGCTCGACAATATGGCGACATCATGTTCAGAACGTGGCGGTGCATGAGTTGCTAGGCCTGGATACAGAAATTCTTGTGATTTCTCTGGAATAAGGTCCCCTGGCCTTCGAAGCTCTTGATACACGTAACATATTTACTTGTATTTGACAATAAATCAGCAGATGATGATTGATTAATTTTTCTTAAAAAATTTTTGCGTCTGCTTCTTTCAAATTACAGATTAAAAAGGAATATTCTAGAAGACATGCGCATACAAGAAATATCAAGAATTTTTTGAGCACCGAACCCGATGATTTATGAAGTTCTCAGTGTTAAGAAAGAGTTATCTATCTTTGCACATGTAAAACATTAAGCTGCACGAAATAACCAGGTTTATCCATATTTAATTGGATAAACCCCATTATTTGCGTTTGGGTCGATGTCAAATGCTGTTGTTACTTTTGCGAGGAATCGGCTTTGTGATGTCCTTGTTTTAATTAGACTAATTTATTATAAATAACTTGCATTACTGTATACAGGGTTTTTTTTTTTCGTTATTTTTACCCTTTCACATTTGGAAACAACTTTGCCCAGAAAGATCAAGATTTAAAGATCTAAGTTCGCCCAGAAAGATTTTTGTTAAAGATATTATGCTATTTACATTGAATTCGCCCACTTCCAGGGAGGCAAAAGGGGCGAAAATTTCCGTATACAGTATCAGCATTGCGAAATGACTTGTTTCCTTTGGATTATCGGTGATATCTATAATATAAATTACCATAGTTTGCTGATTTCTTTTTGAAGATCTGAGAATCCAGGTTAAGACCTGAGAGGGCAGCACTGATTTTGTCATCAAGGTTTTTGGGATTCTTGGCTCTTGTTGTGATTAGGTAGGTATCTCGAAAAGTTTGTTGGCGCATGATCACAAATCCGTCCATAGGATCATCATTTACGAACAAAATTGTCTGTGTACCTAGTTTTTCTGATAAAAAATGTTAAATTTTCTTAGTAAATGAATACAGTGATGTCTATTATGTGAATGAAAATTTATATTTCTCTGGAGAAACAGATAATTTTATCTTCTTGGTAAGTGACATTGTTGACTAAAATATTCTCTCTGTGGATCATTCATTCATACACATGTAATTAATGTGGGTTTTTTTAAAATACTTCTTGGAATAGCTCATAAGTTATAAAAAGAAAACTTTCGTTGAAAACAAGGACCTTTTGTGGACATCCGAATGACTTAAAACTTCACTGCTTCGGTTGGAGACAAATCCGAATCCAAAAGAACAAACTTCAGTGCAGTGGTATGACATTCTTCTTAAGTTCTAAAGTGGTAAATTCAATAAAGAAATATCTTGTAAATTTTATCTTCTACACCTGTATACATTAATCCTCAGTAAGAAAATGCTATTTAGAATCTTAGCAAATTTATTTAAAGTGGAGAACATAAATCAAAATTTTGAATCAATTCATATCAATGAATTTTTTATTTTATGATTTGTTTTTCGATCGGACTGATAGCGTTTTAAACTGGGTGGTTATGTTTGCTGTGTAATGTGGAATATATTTGTAAGAAGATATGACTGTTGTATAAACTGAAAAAACTTACGGAAACCAGCGATGAAGTGTGTTTACCAAGCTCCCATCATGAAGAACCTCAAAATCCCATAGGTGTTGTCTCTGACGTCCGTGCTCCGTGTGTCCATAAACAGGTACCATCGACCTTTTATCTGATTACATAATTATTTATCCTTTTATAATAAAATCTTTTAAATCAACATATGCCAAAAATATACAATGGAAAAAATTTGTTCTGTAAGCCAGTTTAAATTAACTTTAATTTTAAATATTGGTTTCTTTGAAAGCAAGATTGTTTTTTTTTCACAACTTTGACTCATTACTCTCAGTCATGGACAACTAAGCTTTGTGTATTTTTTCCCGCCAGATGTAACGTTGTAAACATTATTTTTCGACAATGAGTGGACGATGAATTTAAAAAAAAACGATTACATATATTCATTATTAAGTAAGTGAGGCGCGAGAATATTAAAACAATTTATTAATTACCTTTCCATGATCCAGACACTGTGGATTCAAAGATTCGCTTTTTTTATAACTCCCAGAAATCTGAGATGACAGTGTCCCTTGGCAGAGAGCAAAAATAAGTGCAAATCTTTTGGAAAACATCGCCAGGCTAAACTTGACTCGGATCGAAAATGAAAGCAAGTCGGAATGTTCTTACAAGTGCCAGGAATGTATTTTTATATCTCACTTGTTTTTGTAAATTAGCTTAGCCTTTTCCTGAACTATCTAATTTATGAGATTAATGAAGATAAAGTATAATAGAGGAATTATATACAGCTGCATCGAAAATTTGGGTATTTAGCATAGCAGATTCACTGATGTCCTGAACGGCTGGTCACCATTAATGTCAAGGCCACATTCCATAGGTCAAGAGTTAAAATAATGGTATTATAAGACCTAACATACCTTTACTTGTTTAACGTTTATGAACAGGTAGATAAAACATTACTTCTATTCTCTCAAAACAATGTCAATGGTACATGAGGTACAGAAACATACAAAACATATGTACATATTTGCATATCCACTGCTCTCTCCCACTATCAACATGTAGCCATCAACTGCGTTTATAGGCCTATAGACGCAACTGCTTCCACTATGACTGCAAGTGCTCTATCTCACTCGTGTAGAACAAGCTCCACTAAAGTTTTACACCGTGTTGAGAAGTATATATATGAAATGTTTCGTAAATGGACTAAATATAAGTTTTTAATAATATTTTTTGGAAAAAAAGGAATTCAGAACAATTTGAAATTGCTGTTTGATATCTTTAAAAATTTGATTTTGGTCAAAGTATTTAATTGTAAAATAAAACTTATAAAAAATTGAATAGAACTCCATTTTTTTTATTTTTTCGTATCATGCATACTTGTACAAAGAACGATAACTCTTCAAACTTGGGTAATAACATTCAAAGAGAAAATTTCTTTAACTAGTAGATCTATATCTATTTCAAGAAAAAATAAATAGAAAAAGTACCAAAAAAATCACAGAAAAGCATACTGGAGTAATAATCATAATAAAAGCATTCTCATTTTTGTCATAGTGTTAAATTATTGATTTTTGTCAGAGGATTTCAATAACGTTGATCGATGACGTCACGACTGCATCAAAACAAAAATTAAGAGAATGTGATGACGGCGCTGCTTGTATCCAGATAACTGTGTTTGAGAGGGAAATACTTTATAAATTGTGATTTATTAGAGAAAAGGAGTATTGATCAGATGTATTGATTTTAAAGCCGTATGGTTTTCTTTACTGAAGACAGAAGAAGCTGCAAGCTGCGTCCTTATGTAAGTCAGGATTTCCTCTGATATTCTTGTCAACATCAAAGAATGCAAATATAAGTAATAAACAACGATTATTTAGTGAACATGGCGTAATGAATAGCAATAGCTCTGCTGGCATATTTGCCATGATGCGCTAGCGCGCATCATGGAATATGCCAGCAGAGCAATTGCTATTCATAACGCCATGTTCACTAAATAACGTTGTTTATTTCTTAAATATAATACAGTGGGTCAAGCAGAAGGTGCTACCTAAGGAGAACAGACAATACTATTAATTTTAGAAATAAATAATCATACTTTTTTTCAAAGAATCAGCCTCATTTTGGCACACGACTTAACAAACTTGATAATATTTGGATCAGAACAAAATTTTTAGTTCAAATAACCTTTCTTCAATTGTTTTAAAGCACTGTAATCTAAAATATTCATCTCCTGTCTGGTTACTACTGCATAAGCTTTATACAATTTCTTTCATTTCTTTGATGCCATTCCATCTACCTGTTTCAATTGAAAGATGGTGATTTATGGTTCTAAACTTATGATAACAGTGTTAAATATTTTTTGCACTCAAAAGTGCTTTTTAAAATTCTATAATTAAATCTTTTTTTAAAGATTCTTGAACTTTGCTATTCCACTTTTGAATATATGGATCTTTTAATTATAATCTTTATTGGACTGTAGCAGTCATACATTCTACATTATGAAAATATTGCTCATACCATATCTCTGCTAAACCACATTTATTCTTTTCTTTTGTACAAATGAAATCCATTTCCCGTTTATCATATTGTTTACGTAAATACACATCTCCAAATCTACACAATTTTTTTTTCTTTTCCATACACAAGTTTTGCCCAATATTCTATCATTCTTGAATAAATATTTAGGTGTATTTTCAGATGGTAAAACAAAATTGACTTCATGCAGTTAATATACAGAAGTATTATGCAGAATGTCCAAATGTGAGGTAGTCTTGCATGCATATTACACAGAGATTTGCTAGCTTGAGCGCGCCAGCAAAAAGCCAACCAAGAACTGTGCTGATCATAATCTTTTATTAGTTATTTAAGAGGAATGCCACACCAGAATTTTATTTCATAGATCTTGAAGACACTTTTTTCATGGTGTTCCGATGTGGCCTTTTGCAAAAGTGTAATACTCCTTTAGTAACAACGCGGTAGCGCGAAGTAACAATGTTGTTCACAACACACCTTCGCACTAACAAACAACACGCTGTCACTCTATCACAACTTTACACAACACGCCGTCGCACTAAAACAAACACGTCATCACACTCAACCAATTTTACACAATGTAATTTGTCTGATAGCACGACCGCGTGTTGTGTAAAGTTGCGTATGAGGTAGGCGTAATGCGTGTTAACGCGATAGCTGTTGTGTAAAATTGCGAATGAGGTACGGCGTGATGCGTGTTAACGCGATAGCGTGTTGAGTAAAGTTGCGTATGAGTGACGGCGTGATGCGTGTTAACGTGATAGCGTGTTGTGTAAAGTTGTAAAAGCGTCACGGCGTGGGTGTGTGCAATCACAGGCGTGTTGAAACAATGCGCTAGTGCGTTGTTTCTAATGCGCTGTTACACTTTACGTTGTGAATGGCCCTTTCGAGACAACATCCTTTGTAACTAGATGGTTTTCAGTATTGAAAGCACAGGCACTTGTTTTAAGAAATAAACTAGAGGTACTGTGAGCGATGAGCTCACTAAATGATACCCCCCGCCTCCCGTATGGTTTTAACTGGTGAAAAAGTCCATGTTTTCCTGTGGCCGGGAAACCCAAAATACGTGTCGGATCAAAAAGCAAAATAGAGGTGCACAATGGCAATATGTAATAAAGATTCTGTGAAAGTGTCATCAAATTTCCTTCAGTGATATGAGAGGAGTTGCAGATAAGAGATTGGTACCCCAAAGCGTAACAGACAGACGGACGGACGGAAATACCATTACTATATACCCTTCCGCTTTTCAAGCGGGGGGTATAATAACAAGTTTATAAACTTCAGTTTGAATATTGAAGTGGGTTGGTCACGTGATCAAATTCTGTGAAGGCTGAAGGCCACTTCAATTCCCACTGAAGTTTATACACTTGTTATTTATTACTTATATAAACATTTGAGATGGTCAATTATCAATAAATGCATAAAATTATTGTTCTTATAAAATATGTAAAGAAAGTTTGGATCTATATTTTAATTTTTTGAATTAAAAAAATTATTAAAACTAGAGGTACTGTGAGCAATGAGCTCACTAAATGATACCCCCGGGCCCGCCTCTCACATGATTATAATGGAAGAAGTCCATGTTTTGCTGTGGCCGGAAAGCCCAAAATATGTGTCGGATGAAAAAATAAGATAGGATGTGCACAATGGCAATATGTAATAAAGATTCTGTGAAAGTTTCATTAAATTTCACTCAGTGTTTTAAGAGGAGTTGCGGATAAGAGATGGGTACCCCAAAGCGTAACAGACGGACGGACGGACGTAGGGGCTGCTAGACGTACAGCTAGACGGACGGCCGGCCATACCGATTACTATGTACCCTCCCACTTTTCAAGCGGGGGGGGGGGGGTATAATAAAGCACATATATATTTATTATTTGTGTAGCTGCAGAACTGTATCTCTCTGCTTGAGAAAATTCGGACAGATAAAGCAGAGATCTACAGATCCAAGCGTTGTAAAAACCTCGATTTACGCCGACGATTTTTTGTCGCTACTTTAGTATTTATTTCGTGTAGTTTAAGCTTTTTCTGGCGTTTAGAATGGTATCCTATAATAATTCATATATTTAACGCTTATATTTGATACTCTGTATACCTTTTAACGGTCCAAAACAGTCCTGTATATAGTTTTGTAATGTCGGTTTAAAAGAGTTCCATTTGGACGACAACCACAAACAGCCATTTGTTGGCGTTGTCAGGTAACTAAATGACCAGGAATTGAAGTTGAATGTATGATTAATTATTAAATACCATTAATTTTAACATTATTTTCAAAGCTGGGGAAAGTATAAAATACACGAAAAAATACCCATAGTGAGCGACAAGAAATCGTCGGCGTAAATCGAAGGTTTTTACAACGCTTGGATCTGTAGCTCTCTGATTTATCTGTCCGAATTTTCTCGAGCAGAGAGCTACAGTTCTGCAGCTATTATTTGTGAATATGTTTTAAATGAATGAAAAGGGTTTTCTGTTGGATTAATAACCTTTTTTATGGATTTAAAACATATTCCCAAATAATGAATATGTGTTTTATTGTCCCCCGCTTTCGAGAAGCGAGGGGACATAAAATCTCATTCATCTGTCAGTCAGTCTGTCCGTCCGTCACAAAAACATTAACCTTGCTCATAACTGTTGATTTAGTAGAGCTAGGACTTTCATATTTCACATGTGTATTCCTTGTGACAAGACCTTTCTTTGGGTACCACCAAATATGACCTTTTGACCTTGGAGTTTGACCCACTTCAACACAAAAATTCCAAACTTTGACTTTGACCATAACTTTTGAATGGTAGATACTAGTCAGTATTGCTTTGACTAATCCTTTTTCTATGTAATCCGAAAATGGTCACGTAGTTCACTAGCTTTTCCATATAAAACCATTAATTATGCGCCCGAATCGAAAGATCCTAGGCGTATATTGTTTTTGTCCTGTCTGTCTGTCTGTCTGTTTGTCTGTTTGTATGTTTGTCTGCAAACTTTAACCTTCGCCGTAACTTTTCAACCATGAATGTTAGAGACTTTATATTTGGTATGCCTACTCCACTAATAAAGCTCTTTCAAATGACACCAAGTTCAATGA